TTACGAGCAAAGCAAAATGGGATCACGCGTGCAATCTTATTGGAGTACGGTGGGTGCAGTTGGATGGAAACATTACAATCAAACCAGCCCCCACTAGCGAAGCGCAAGCTTCCGCCGTTTCCACGCATGAAACCTATGATCGGTTCTTGTGCGAATTTTGCTGTTCTGATGATTCCAAGCTCGGCGACAAATCAAGATTACCAGCATTTGGTTGCAAGGTGCTTAGAGTAACTGAGCGTCAGAATGCGTTGGTTGCTGATACATTGAAATGGGTATTTGACGAGGTGCAACTTTTCAGGAAGAATGTCAAGTCCAAAACACCGCCCTGCGTGATGCTTCATGCTTCACTTCCGTGTACGGGTGGGTGCCCCTGGAACAATATCAATGGTCAGACTCAAGAAGGTCAAGCCAAGATCCAGGAGCACAAGGCGTTGTTTCGCAAACTGCTGAAGCGTTTGGACAAACTTATCACTATGCTTCGACAGCTTGACATTGTGCTTGTGATCAACATGGAACTTCCTAAGCTTTGCAGTTATTGGAAGAACTATTTCGTGCATGATTTCCTCATGAAATATGAGATGGTCAAGTACAATTGCGATGGTTGCATGTTTGGTGTCCTGGACAAGGATGGAAATTTGTTGCAAAAGTCATGGACTATTGCTTCTTCCTGTCAATCGTTGGCCAAACTGCAACAGTATAAGTGCACAAAGGATCATCAGCATGGACAGTCCAGGGGGGCGGCCCTCAAACGTGCTGAATCTTACACGTATGAAATGACTGACCTGATCCATGGATGTTTTTCTGAGTTTGCTGACAGCATGAAACAGGTTGTCACCGATAGCTCGGCTCAGAGACCCACAAAACGTGCACTTGTTGCTCTTAAGCTTCCCTCACCGGTAGCCGCAATGGCTGCTTACAATCTCGGGGAGTATTCGGAGGGCAACTTGGAGTACTGGCGAGGAGTGATGACGAGGTTTACGTCGAACACCTTGTTCCAGGAGACGAGGCCCGAGGATCGCAAGACAATGGAGCAGATCCTCGGAGCACAGGCCACTCTCCAAAGCTCATGCGCTATGTGGGCGGCTGACTACGCGCCGGAGCTCATGGATACGCTTTGCGCTGTCAATGACAAAGGCCTTGGCCGCATCACGCCCGGGGCAACCTGTGGCCGGAATAGCGTGTACCTCGTCGTGAGTGACTCCAGCCTCGCCCTCATCAGCGGTGGCAAGAAGAACCGCAAGAGGGCGGACTTGGCGCAGGACATGAACTACAACCGCAGCACGAGTTGTAGCCACTGTGAGGTGAGAATGTGTTGGGGAAAGGACCTCACATTTCTCACGTGGACAGTGAAAAGCGCCATGAAGGACCTGAAGAAACGTCCTGAGTTCAAGGACCACGACTTCTACGTGACGGTGTACTGGTCCGGGAACGAGCTCGTTGGCAGTGGTGGGATCTGCGATGAGCCCGAATGGCCATACCGATGCGGAGACGGTCACTGGCCCGAGCTGTTCAACAAGTGCGCCAAGGCGATCGATGTGCTTGAGGAGTGCAGGAGTTGGTGGGGCATTGCGAACATCACGATCTTGGCCAACACCGAGGGTTCGTACTATATGCTCCCGCCCATCTACAACCAGTTCATGGAAAAGTTGTTGGATGAGTCGCTCAACAAGCACAAGCTCCTTCGCAAGAAGGAGTCGACGTTCTTGGTGTCTCGGCAGGACAGGCTTGACAACTACCACATGGTGGACTCCATCGAGAACCGGAAGACGACGGTGGAGTGGCTGTGGTCGTTGTTCAACGTCATGAAGTGTGTCGCTGTCGTTGAGTCCCACAAAGAAGATTTCAACAACGTGAGGTTGTACCTTGAATATTCCCATGACGCCGAAGCTGGACTCAATCCGTACACTTTGGCTGAGTATGAGGCGAACAGGAAGCTCACGCTTGAGTCATGGGAAGCCTTCAACGTCCGATCAAGCTCGCGAAGGGCCGCATCCTCGAAAAGATCGAGGAAGTCGAAATCAAGGAGGAGATCGACTATGATGACGATGATGCACTCCCGCAAGGGAGTGCCGCTGAGGCTGCGCTTGGCGTCAAGGCCGCTCCGGCTACACCCAAGTTCACCGCGAAAGCATCGCCAAAGGTACAGGCGAAAGCATCGACTGCTGCGGTGGCATCGGATGTGCGGGGGGCAACCCCTGCCGGAAGCTCATTGCCAGGCAAGCCCGGCGGAACCGTCATCTTCCGCGGCCAGGAGTACGAGGCGAGGATTCTCCCGGGCACGATCCTGAAGGTGCCCAACTTCATGAAGGGAGAGACGTCCTCGACCGATCGGTGCACAACCATATCTGGAATGCTTCGTGGCAGGTTTCAAGAACAGAGGCCACTCGACTTCGATGAGAACTATTTTGTCGACGTCCACCAGCTATGTGACAAATTCAACAGAAAGACCCGCAGCAATATCGGGTACAAGACGCTGTTGAAGATTTTTGCACTCGATCCGAAATGCAGATACACCGTCCTCGCGATCAAGCATCCTTCGGCTGCCGAGAACAACCAGGAGTGGGTTGTCATCAAGGTTCGTGCCAGTCAGGGACACGCCAGCAGCGTTGATGCTGATGGCGACATCAGCCGGAACCAGTACGCACTTGCGAAAGCAATCTACGGGAAGTTTCTCCCGGAGGACGCTCGCAAGGTCGGACTGCAGCTTTCGCCGATTGATGATGGCCCTGGCAAACTATACCATCGCACGAGCAAGAACGCAGCCGAGAGCATCGTCAGGACAGGTTTGATCCCGGGTGGCGTTGGGGTCACGGAGAGTGGCCGCTCGCAGAGCCATTTCTCCATCCACCCGGTAGAGAGCTCATCGTACAATGCTGGAGTTCGAGCAACAATGCCTATTGAGCTTGTCATCGACTTCAAGTATGCGATTGAGCTCGGAGTGGTGTTTTTCCTTTCGGAGTCTGACGTCATGCTGACCGCCGACATCGTTCCCAATGACTCTATTCTGTACTACACAGATGCGAAGACAGGTGAAGTGCTTTGGAGAAACGCCCTTCGTCTTGAGGCATTGGAGAATCAAACGACTGTCGACACGCTCGCCGCAAGGCGAGCCGTCACTGTGACTGCAGACGAGGCCTTTCAGACCGATGCGGAGGGAAACAGGGCCACAAATCCTGAAGAAGAGCAGACGAATGAGGACACGGCCGCCTCTCGCCCGGGGCAACCCGCGGCCGACACCTCAGTCGTCAGGTTCAAGACCTTCGCAATGCCCGTCCACTACACGGACTGCAGCCTCTGCGGCGAGGACATGATGCAGGGGCAGCTCAAGTGGACGGAGCACTAAGGAGAACAATGACGTTCAGCTCTTCAGAGCCGCAAAGCGGAGAACGCAGATGCTTGAGGAGGTGAGTCACCGCGTTGGCAAGACGGTTGATCAGCTCCTCATCAATGATTTCAAGGGCTATGCTGATGTTGCAAAGAGAGGAGCAACATCCTTCGAAGCCAAGCAGATTGAGGCTTCAAAGAACTACGATAGCAGGGCCCGCAAGCTTGGATACGACAATGTGGTGGATCGGTTTGACAAAGATGCGACCTTTGCCCTTCGTATGGTGGAGCAAGGGCACAATCGCGACAGCCTCTACCAAATGTCTATCTATAGGTTTTGTGTCCTCCCCGAATTTCCACGGAGTTACGATCAACAGGACTGTCTACGTCACCGGCGGCAAGGTCGGGGACTATGACGCCAGCCTGCTTACGTTTCCATGGCTATTCTCGTACAACGGCAAAATGCTGAGTCTTCATCAAGTCGTCGACCAGGTCAACATCCTTTCGGGGATGCGCAATCTTGTCACCTTTGGCGGGAAGTTCCCTACGCTCCGGGCAACCGGAGCCGAGGACCTCGAAGCTGAAGTCACGGAGATTTGCTGCCAGGCGGAGGACGATGCGAAGAAGCTCGCACGGCGCAGCCAAAGGCAAAGCGCCGAGGACCGCGCCCGCGGACCTGTGCAACCTGCTCAGCCCGCCTCCAGCTCCGCTGCCAGAAGCCGAAGCTGGAGAGATTGGGGCAGTCAGGACTGGAGCAGTCAGGACTGGAGCAGTTGGCAGTGGTCGACCTGGAGTTCGCGCGGCTGGTCTACTAGCGGAAGGTGGTGAACGCAATCGTCATCACAACGGAGCCCTTCTGAGAGAGTAGCAATTTGCATGCACGACGGATGTGTAATGTCCATTTTCAACGTGCAATGGATGTGCGTATGGAATCAAAGCGGGTTGCAAAACCTGCCGACATTTTCGTTGTTGCTCAATCTCAAATGAGGGGGGTGTGGATTCAGGTTCCAACCCTGTGCATGAGTGTACTTGTACATGCTCCGCCGCTACAGACTTCAAGATCACTGACAGCAGTGTGAAAAGGTAGTCAACGGTTTGCTGCTTGCCTAGGTATTCCCTTAGGTGGCCTAGGCTTGATAACACAGAAAGAGAAGCAATAGTAAACCACTTGTTTGCTGTTGGTTTCGTGTGGAATCCTGTGGTTTACTTAAACTTTGTTTCCATTGGTCAAAGGAAGCCAGGCCGAAAGTCGGGAAACGGTTTCCAATGGTTTCCTTTTGTCATGGACAAAGGATTTTGTGGAGCATGAACGGTACACCACTTCGGAGTCAGCCCCCAAATATGTTCAAACTTGCTTGGATGACCAGCCCATTCGGGGAGTGACTATCCCACCTGATAAACACGTGTTGGCCGACACGCAGCAGCCCAGTAAAGGGACTGGGCTCATTCACCACCCCACTGAACCGGGGCAAATGATGTCACTCAAAAGGAGTCCAGATCGCGGTCCCCCAAAATGAAAGTTGATACAAACATCGCGAATTCCATCGGCAGATTTCTGTTTTGTCCACAGTCGCCCCAGGAGATCAAGAACGCCTAAAAAAAAGTGGTCTACCATTCATGCTCCACAAAAACCTTTGCTCATGACAAAAGGCATTTGTCCACAGCTTTCGGTTCAGGAGATCGAGAACGCCTGCAAAACGGTGGTGGATGTGCGTGATGTGGCGAAGGCTCACGTGGAGGCGATTCGCCGAGACGTGGCGGGCAGAAGGCGGGGACGGCCCATGGAGGGTGAGCTGCCCTTGACGGGGGTGATGCTTTAAGGGGAAGAGGAAGCCCTGTGAAAGAGAAGCGAGAAGGAGGGTTGTCTAAAGACAAAGCTTGAACATGGAATCGGATTGGGCTGTGTCAATCCAAGTTACTTTGGTTGACACTGGATGGCACGAATTTCCAGTGCCATCTATTTCGAAAAGGACGCTGAGGGGATAGAACCTGGTTTATATAAAATGTTGTTGGGCTTCTGCGGCTTGTGTGTTTTTTTTTGTTTTTTGTTTTTTGTTTTTTTTGTTTCCCTCCTTTTGTTTGTTCTTTGTTTCTCCTTTTTCCGTGGTTGGGCCCTTTGGATTTAGGAACATGGGTCGCAAAAGGAATCCCTTCTGTTTCATGAGCTCGCGGTTCATGTCCAATTTTGGATCAAAAGTCTGAGTGTCCATGGGCAAGTGAGATGGTCGGAGTTGTTCGGGCCTCGAAGTGGCTGCGAATTGTTGCACGGGGGCTTGTGGTACGGCCTGCAGGGGTGGTTTCCTTTTGGTTTCCGAATATCCATGCGTCACATGGCTACCATCTTTACTCGAGAACCCCTCAACAGTAGTTGGTGGACATAATTCTTCACCTCAATCATGTCCGCAAAGGCTGCCCAGTTTAAACTTCATACCCGTAAAATATGCAGTTGTACATATATATATATGTATATTTACGCGGATGTGTTTATATACATATCGACATGGAGCGGCATCCAGATCGACCGGAGGTTCCTGCTGATCGGGGGGTCCCCTCACTTCAAGGAGGTGGCGAACTATATCCGGGACGCGTTGCCGGAGGCGGGTCGCGAAGCAAGCGTTTGCTGATGTTCTTGGTTTTCCCCGGGATTTTGCTTTACAAGACGTGCAGGGAAGGATTACACAGTGAAAGGGGGACCCAGGATTCATGAAGACCCCTGGTGTTTTTGGAGAATCTATCACAGGATTCATCTCCATTTCCAAATTTCAGCAACTGGGGCACACCTCAATGGGTCTTGCCGATTGTCGGGCCTTCCAACAGGTGATATTTCAAGCAAAAGGATCCAGGAAAGTGGATGGAACGATTCCCGGTAGAAAAGAAGAGGATTTGCAACAACAAAATAGTGGCATCTTCACCCAACTGTTGACGAGGGGGGGCAGATAAATGGCTGTGGGTCAAGACCCTGTACCCCTGTTGAACGTCAAAATAGCTGGCAAATGGATGTTCATCCACTCCAAAATGGAGCCATAGGTCATGCCCCATGGCCAAATCGGTCCGGAAATCAAAGCATGCCCGTCTCCTCTTGGCTGGTTTTTTGGGGGAAAGAATGGCTCTTTGTGACCCCAAAGGCCCGGAGATCTTTGGAAATGATGTCAAGGGCCTAGTTCAAATCGGCTATGCCCCAGCGATGTTTAAGACCTAGTAGTAGTGATTCCATTGATATTGCTTAAAAAAAAAAGAGGCGAGCTCACCGCTCCGGGGGTAAAACGAGCTCACCCTGCTAACGATCCTTTTCTTGGGGATCCAATTCTTATTTCAGGTTTTGGACATATTGCGCAATTTGCAGCTGATTCAACTTTCCGCTTCGTGGCTCCAGAAAAAGAAAAAGAGCTGCAAAAGGTTCTCTCGACTTTTTGCTCAATTTCTGTCACGGGAGAGAGCAGCCCACCCGAGGACATGAAGGCGAAGGTACCCACCAAGGCCGGGAAGGGCCTGGCTTTGGGTTCCAGTTTCTTGCGATCGGTAGCCAGGGAATGACAGGGCCCCCCAAAAGATCTCCATTTTGTCCACTTGAAACATGTTGCTTTTTTCTCCAAAATACAGGGAAACCACCATTTACAAGGCAATGTTCAGGTGTATAATGTAAGGATCCCTGATGAGAAATGGAATGACCCCCTATACATCATCCAACTGGTGGTTTCCTTTATCCGGGAAGCCCGAAACGGTTCGCTCGCAATTGCACCGCTTTGAAACCATGGCAAATCATTGGTTGTTTGTTTGTATTTACATGGTGACTCACGAAGCGAGGTTACTACCCACTTAGGGACCATCCCAACTCGGGGGTGAGCGAATTGCCCCATGTCTTGTGGGATGTCCAAACATAACTTACCCTACACCCCACGGGACTTGCGAATTGAGGTTGCCCCCTTGGTCTTCTAGGGCTTGATTCCAACCATTCTTTTCAGCCAACGTTCTTTCCTCAACAACCGATCGCCACGCTCCCCGCGTTTCCGGTGATTTTCTGGTGCCCACAACCTCCTGGCTTCGGCTTTCAATGGAAGACCCGACCCCTCCATTAGACACCCCGGGAATTGGTTGGGACCCGGTCTCAAAAGGTGGTTGGAAGGCCCATCCATCGAATTGGAGCCTCTGGGTCGGAAGGATCCCTGGAAATGGACATGGAAAGTCCCCCTTGGGCCTCCAAGTTTCTGGGATCCTGTTCATTCGGGACGCCCTAGCGGGGGGGGAGTGGTGGGGGGGGGGCAAGGCTCCCTGAGGCTCCCTTAAGGGACCCGTTTCGGAACCGTTTCGGGAACTGGGAGGAATTCTATGGCTCTCAACTACCCACCCCCCTTGTGTCGTGGCCCCGAATGAGTCGGCTTATCATCCCCAGTTTGTTAAGTTCGGGGGTGGGGGGGGGCCCTAAAGTGGTCTGATTCCCCACTGAACAACTGGGGTTGGGGTTGATTAAATCTGCGTGTTTATCAAATTTGGGGACCCCTCCACGGTGGGTTTCCCATTTTTGAGGAACCCCCACATGTCTACAAAACCCGTTTTGTGGAAATCGCCTGTTCTTTCGCCTGTTGGTCCTTTTTGTAATCCTTTAGTTCTCTTCTTGGATCCGCAGATTCGCCACATCCAAGCCGTTTTCTAGAACATTTAGCTGGTGCTCAGTAGGGAACGAGGGAATGAACCCAGGCTCGCCCTGAAAAGAAACCACCAGTTGGATGGTTTCTTCTCGGGGCCATTCCTTTCTCGTTCCCGAGACTGAGCACCAGTAATGCTGTGGATGGATGAAATCCATTTCGCACCACCTAAGAAATCCTGGAATGAGTCGATTCCCCGGAAAAAACCAAGAAACCTTATGGTTTCAACCATGGTTTCTTTTCGTGGTGTCTCGGATTTCGATTTCAACCATCCACAGTATGAAATCCACGTTTCCCTGGGTTTTCGGAGGTTTTCTAGAAAGATCCGGATCCCTGGGTTTGGAATGGTTGGAAGGTACCCCTAGAACAACCTAGAGTCTCCACCCTTACAAAATGGGTCAATGACCCCATTATTTGGCACAACTTCTTAAAAGATACGTTTTGCCCATTCGAAATATGGCTTTTTCCACCAAAATACAGGGACACCACCATTGACAAGGCAATGTTCAGGTGTATAATGTAAGGATCCCATTATTTTGGGTAATGATAGCCCTAGAAATTTGGCCGTGGCTCACAAAAGTGGTACCAATTTTGGGGCTCCTTGGAAACATTGACCAAACCCTGCGGTTTGCCCCAGCTCCCTAATTTTGAGCCACACCCATTTGGTCGCAGATTGCTCCGCCGAGACCAGGTCTCCGAGAAGTTGGGCCCCACGGTGCTGGGCCCGCCCCCGCCTTTGTCGGTGGCTTACGACGTGGCGCCCACGGAGAAGCTGCTGGGAATACACTTCACGCCGGTGCGGGAGCAGGCGAAAGTGGGGGGGGGAGGGTGGCCAGAAGGGGAGGCTTTGTCTGTGGCTATGGCTGGGGAGTATCAGGGGGCTTTGTTTGCATGTCCTCCTTGGGGTGGAAACCAAAAGGCCAGGCGAAAGGGTGGGGGGGTGGTGGCCAGAAGCGGAGGCCCTGTCTGTGGCTATGGCTTGGGAGCTGGGGAGCTGTTTGTATGTCCGGGCTTAGGGGTGGGTTTAGAAGGGAAACCCAAAGGCAAGCAACTTTTCGAGGGGACTATGCAACCATTCAAGGGGTATTTGTACTGCGGTTGGTTGCGAAATCCGAGACCGCGCCACGAAATGAAATCATAGTTAAAACCCTAATGTTTGGTGGTATTTTAGCGGAATCATCCGAAGCCTCTTTTTTTAAAAGGTGACACGACATGGATTTCGTCCATCCACACTATGTCACATGTTTTTGGTTTGACAACCTTAAATCTGGGGGGCTATATACTTTGAGCACTTGCCTGGTCAGGTGCGGTCGATGGTACAGACCATGCTCGAGAATGGCTTTAGCAGCGCAGAGCAATACGTGCCGGACAGGTGAAAAAGTGCTTTCCCATTCCCAGAACCACTGGTTTTGTGGGTCGCCAAGGGCGGGCTTGCCACCCGACACAGACACCAACAGGACAATGGCGAAGGGTTGCCCTATGTGCCTTGCCTGGGATGCACTGAGCTTCCCATTCCTCCCATCCCCTTTCCAGCCCTTCCATCCCCTTAACCCCCTTGCTGCAGTTCCTTCAAGGCCGTGTTCTTCCACCTCCCATTTGCCCCGTTGATTTGCCCCGTTTGCAACTGTGGGTCTACGGGTCCACAAGCACTGGTTGCAGGGTCCACCGGTTCAACCAACTTGGCAAGCCACATATGGTTACTACCGTATGTCAGCCAGGTTTTAGGCCTGATCATATGCTGGCACTGTGTTGTCCCGCTGAATGAGAGCCCAGGATTCTTAAGCCCTTGAATCATAAACCCTAAACCCTAAACCCTAAACCTTAAACCCTGTTTGCTTTTGCGCAGCTGTGTGAGCCAGTTTTTCTGTTTGCTTCTCGCTTCCGCGGGTCTGTGGGGTCCCGCAATGCTGACGGTCCTCAGCAACAGCACTGCGAACCTCAGCGAGGAGCTGAGTCTCGGCTGCCCCAGGCCGACCTGAAATGACCTTTTGGTCTTCCCTTTTTGGGTTCCCATTCTTAGTCATGGCCCTTGTGTTGCGATCACCTTGTGTTTGATCCGTTTTGGTCCAAGAGGCGATCACCTTGTGTTTGCAGGTCGTTTGGACAACTGAGTATCTATATATATATATATAATATAGATACTCTTGTTGCACCCACTTAGAAAAAAACACCCAAAGATCTGCATTTCTTTGACCTGCGAAGTTTGGCAACTGAGGAATCGCACCCGGCAAGAGTTGGTCTCTGCACGTTCTGAGACAGCAGATCTGGCCAGAAGGCTAAGCAACAGGCGATGGAGGATGACGATACATGGCGCAATTTGGTAAGGGATCCTTTGGACGGAGCAGCTTTTGGTTGAAACAAGTCGGATGTTCCGAATGCCCACGCAAAGAAGGTGAGTCACTTTTTGCAGAGGGGTCTCGCCAAACAAGGCTACACTTGGAGTCAGGGTGGGACGTGCTGCGGAAGCACCACGAGCGTTGGCTCCTCAGCGTGGCTTTCCACGCATTTGGGGCGGCTCGCCAAGTAGTTTGGAGGCGGACTCCGGATTCCCGGGATGATCGAACTTCCCGCGGCCGAGTCGCTGCTTGGCAGTGGCTCTGGCGCAAGAAGGTCGTGAGCCTCTGGCGGCGTGCGACGGGGCTCTCGCAGCGCGACCGCCTGCGGGAGGATCAGGAAGCCCAGCTTGGCCATCACCGCAGCTCCATTTGGGAGCTTCAGGAATGTGTTGAGCGGCTCCATGGCCGCCGTGTGGACATCAATAGCTTGCTGCAGTCCGAGCGCGCCCGCGTGCAGGAGCTGGAGTCGGAGCTGGGCTCGTGCCAGGGGCAGGTGAAGGAGTTGCAGCGCACACTCAAGGAGCGCTACGTGCATTTTGCCGAGGGATGCTAGGAGTTCAACCTTTGGGTTTTCCCCATTAAACCACTCAAAGTGAGTCACTTTTAGCAGGGCTTCGCAGATTTGAAAGCCACCTCAAGGAGTGCTACGTGCGGCAGTTTCGGGACTCCCAAGAGCGTGAGAGGCTGCAGAGCGATTTTTCCAAGACTCTGGAGGAGAACCAGCAACTCAGTTCTTCAGTGGCCCCTTTTTTTGGGTGGCTGCCCCTTTTTGTATGTCCTCCTTGGGGTGGAAACCAAACGGCCAGGCGAAAGGGTGGGGGGGGGTGGGGGGGTGGTGGCTATAAGTGGGGGCACTGTTTGTATGCAGGGGGGGGGGGGGGCTGCGGTTATAAGGGGAGGCCCTGTCTGTGGCACCCCAGTTTTTTGGTGCCCCTCTTTTTCTGGGTGGCCCCACTAAACATGGCCCAAGCCCCGAAAAGGGTTCCAATTCTTGTTTTTTCCAGGGTCGCTGAACAGCTGAGGCAAGTGAAGAGCCAGAACGAAGGCCTCCAGAAGCAGCTCCTGGCGATGCAGAAGGACCTCGTGGAGTCTCGCAAGCAGACAGCGGAGCGGGAGGTGCGGCTGCTGGAAGCGTCCTCGGAGCTGTCGCTCGCCAGGGAGGTGATTGACGACATCGCCAGCTCCAAGCTGGCGGGGCTCAGGCGGTTCTTCGAGCACTACGACCTGCCCTCGGTCTGCCTGAGCTTGTTCCGGAAGCTTCCGTTTGCTGAAATGAATATTTTTTGATTTTCCCCTGTTGGTTTTGAAGGGACTCGAATTCACTAGTGGACATATTTGCTCATTTTGTACCGGGTCTTCACCAAATGGAAGGAAGGTGGTGGAGCTTCAGCACACCCTCCGGAGAAGCGTCCGGTCACGTCCGGCGGCCAATTTCTCGCCGGCGGCCATGGAGAGCGAGGTGCGGCAGTTTGCGCCGCACGAGCGGGTGTCTCGCTGTACCTTGCAGAGCTACCTGGAAGGCATCAACTTTGAGCAGGTGGCCGCCAGTATGGTGGCTCAGGTGCCGGGTCGTAGGGTCGTGGGAGGGATTTTTTACTCGGGGATCACTGCGGGATTTTTTGGGAGGGAGCGCTCGGGTGTATCCAACCACTTCTGTGATGTCTTCGGGAAGCATGGTGGCTCAGGCCACTTCTGTGGGTTTCTTCGGGAATCCCCTCTTTTGAGGCGAACATGTCTTTGGAGGCCCTTGTCTTGCTTCAGCGGGGAATAAGGGAATGAACGTGGGGATTCCTTAAAGGAACCCACAAGGGATGGTTTATAAGGGTCATTCCATTTCTCATTCCCCTGCATCTCTCGCACCAGCAAGAAGTGCCCACCCACTAAAGCAACTAAAAGCAAATAAGTAGCCAAGATGGAACCCAGGTAAATGGAAACATGGACTAGAACCTGTGGTCCCTTGGTGTAATTTTGACCCTCGCCAAGTGGATTCCATTTGGATTCTAGTTGGCTATGAATTTTAATGGGAACCCCCTGAAAAGTGATTGGTGGACACAAATCCCCAAATGAACTCCACCAAAGAGTCCCTAATTAAAATTCATACTTGGGAGACTTACAACCTTGGCTTTTGTGGCTTATAACCAGGCTTACTATCCACTTGCCTGACGTGCTTACTTTCCCTGGAAGTACCGCACCAGCATGCGTTTTCTGGTATCACAGGTTCGTGGATTCCATGTAGGGGACCCTTTCTTTCAGTTTCCCTTGAGTTGGTGGTGTGGAGCCGAATCGGTGGTCTGGTAGCGAAACGGAGGGGTTTCACAAATCTGAAGATGAGAGCTTTCCAAAGATCTTTTTCAAGACGTCCGGGTGTGTCTATTTCTTTTGGGGGACCCCCCAAAATGAGGATCTTCCCTCTGGTTTCCCTCTGACACCCTCCCAAATTCCGAATGTCCACCATTCCGGGTCCCTAATTCATCATCATCCCATACATTTTTTCAGCTTCCCTTCAGTTGTTGGCTTGGTTGCTTTTGGCGTTTCCAATGTCAGCTGGTTTCCCTCTCAAACCATCTTAAAACGGGGTTCACAACCCCCCACCTGAATGACGCCAAAGGCTCCCCGGTTAAAACATCATACCCAAAAAAATGCATTTGTGTATATATATATATAATATACATAGAGACGCACGCGGATGTGTGTTATACACATATCGACATGGAGCGACCTCCGCATCGACAACCAGGTGCATAACTTTTAATATTCCCTCTGGGTTTCCCATTTCAATCCATCCCAAAAGGGGTGCCGCTCTCAAGAAGACACACCCACACAACGTGTGTCTCTTAATTTGGGGGATGTGGCTTCCCTTTAAAGCCACCCCCCCAAAAACGGCCCCCTAAAAAAGACAGACCCCAATCGAAATGAGTTTTGGAGTCGACATGTTTGGGTTTGGGACCCCAATCAAACCATCCCAAAAGGGCGTTTCCACATGTCTCTAGGGGTTCATTCCAACCATTCTTTTCAACCATCGTTCTTTTCAAAAACCGGATTTGTTTCCCCAGGGTTTTGGGTGGTTTTGTAGAAAGCTCCGGATGCCTGGAAAGAATGGACACGGAAGGTACCCCTAGTGTAGTCTATGGTTGATTTGGGGACATGGGCTCGTATCCAGCTTCCCTTCCTTACAACACCAGCGGCGACCCACATGAACCTGGACTTCATATTCCCATGGCAGACAAGAAATCCCTTGAACAAAATCCTTGGAACGTAGCCCTAGAATGTTAGCCACGTCGCCAGGAAGCTTCCATTTGCTTAAGCCCCCGGGAAAAAATAATACTAATAAAATTTAGTAGTGAAATCGATTCCCTTTAAAACCAACAAGGGACAATACTAATAAAACAACAAAACAAAACAATATTCTTAAGCAAATGGAAGGCTAGCCGAATTGGACTAGGTTTGCACTAGGCCCTTGACATCATTTGCTTCCAAAAGTTCTCAGGACCTTTCGGGTCTCACACAACCGCCAAGAGGAGACAGGGCATGCTTTTTTTGTTCCCAGACCGATTTGGCCATGGGGCATAACCTATGGCAACAAATTTTCGGGTGGAACATCCATTTCTTGACCGCCAGGGAAAGGACGCCATGTCCACCGATCCGGGTGTGTCTATGGTTTTGGGGGGACCCCCCAAAATGAGTAGTTTCCCATTTCACACCCTCCCAATGATTCCCATGATGATGATGATGATGATGATGATGATGATGATGATGATGATGATGATGATGATGATGATGATGATGATGATGATGATGATGATGCTTTTTCTCAATTGGTGGTTTGGTGCTTAAGGATCATCCCCGCACTTTTTGTTCAGCTTCCCCGGGTTTTTGGGTGGGTGAATCGGCCTTTCCCAGGCCCAGCCACGTCAACCCACCGCCAGCGCCAGGTGATCCTCGCCCTGCTGGGCCTGGACCTGGGCGAGGCCAGCTGCGAGGCCCCGCGCTTCGCCGCGCTGCTGGCGCGGCCCCCGGCGCTCACGCAGCAGCTGGACTTCGCCACGGCCCTGCGGCCCGGACGACCGAGGAAAAGGAGAAGAAAAACGGGAGAAAGCCGGCCAACGGAGCTGTCTGACCTTTTGGGTGTGGACATTTTCTGTTTTTTTGTTGTCTTGACGGTTTTGGTGGAGGTGTTCCAATTTCGGGCGGTCCTTTGGGCCTTTTGGTTGTCCAATTTTGGCTTGCTTTGCAGCTTTTGGTATTGCGAATCCGCCGGAGCTCAGCTTTTTAGGCGCGGAAATTTTGTGCTTTCCCGTTCCGGTTGTAGTGGAGGTTGTCCAATTTTGGCTTTCCCTTTCGTCTATTGGTTTTCCAATTATGGCGTTTTGCCAGTTTTTGCGGTGCCGCCTTCTATTTCTGGGTCCCTCAGGGCCAACTGAGGTGGGGTTCTGCAGGCGAGCCGGCGGCTGCTGTAGTGCAGCAACATCGGCGGCAAAGTTCGCCCAACTCTCCGCGAGGTAAAGCCTCCTGAGCTTCGCCTGAGAAAACACGGTGCGTCGCCGCAGGAAGCCGCTGATTGGTTGCTGAGAAATGGAGGGCCCTGGTAGACCTACTGTGGATGGACGAAATCCTTCACCACCTAAGAAACACTGAAATGTTGATTCTCCTGTAAATACCGACAAGCAAGGGTTTCTAATGGTTTTAACCATGGTTTCAAAGTGGTGCAGGATTTTGTCCATCCACAGTATTGGTTTAATCATCTACCAAGGACATCCATTTTGCCATAAGGACACCTATTTGAGAGGGTGTGTTCTACGGTTTCTTAGGTGTTCAGTTGCTTTTAGTTGGTTTAGTGGGTGGGTTTCTGAATTTCACCCACAAGCACGTCACTTTTAGCAGGGGATCAGATCTGAAAACAGACTCATGGTCGTGGTTGATCACTCGGGGTTTGTCCAACCACTTCTGTGATATCTTCGGGAATGTCCCAATTTGTTTGGGAGGAAAATGTCTTTGGGGTTGGGCCCTTTTTGTTGTATCGCAGATTCGTGGATTCCATTCCAAGCCCTACTATTTGGTAGCTGATTGCTTGAGAGGCTGTGTGTCCCATTTCCTGGGCAAACAAACAGGCTGAGACTTGGCTAGACAGAGGGTCTGAAGGTGGGTTTTAAGGGAAAAGGACATTCAATCCCTATTCCTCAACATGTCAAAGGGTGTCTTTTGACGATTCCCCATTGAATGGTGTCCCTATAGTTCCCGCTTCCGTCATGTCAAACATCACCTGTTAGGGATTTGTAAGGTGAGTTTCTCTTGATGTTTTAAGGGGCGAGATCTGGCCATGGGTCAAAATCCCGTGCCCCAAGTGAACATCCCAATCCCCAAAAAAATCCCGACCAACATGGGTGGTGAATTCACCTACCAACCAAAATGGGATCCCAAAACGGTTTTGACAACCGCAGTCATCTAGGGAACCCTGCTTCGGCCCTGAACCGATTCAGTTTTTCCCCAACAGCTGAAAGCTTTGGGGTCTCAGCCCAGATAGGCTCCGGGGTGGTCTGGGGCGGCCTTAAGGTAAGGTTCCACGAGGGTTCCACGAGGGTTCCACCAGGGTTCCACGAGGGTTCCACGAGGGTTCCACGAGGGCACGGGGTTTTGCGAGGGCTGCGGCGTGAAAATTACTCATAAGCCGAACTTAATCGCAGTGAAGATATTCTCATTTACAACACTAGGTGGGGGGTGCGAGCACTAAAAGAGCACCGCATGCCTGAGCTTCTTCCACGAGGCCGGGCCTCTTCAAAGGCGTCACGGCCAACTACGTGCGCTTCGGCCCGTGCGCACTGGGACAGAGTTCCAAGTTTTGCCGCTGCGATCGCCCGATGGGCTAAAGTAGGGGTCCCTGAAGTAGCAAATGGGTTGCCTGCCTTGTGAGCCTCAAAAGGTGTCCTTTTGAGGTGAGCGAAGGGGAACCACCAAGCCGCATCCACCGCGAAAGCTGAAGAGGGACGTGTGAGTCCACCCGAAGCAGGGTTCAGAAAAGTGCGAAGGGGGAACGACGGTCGATGGTTACGAAATCCTCTTAGGCACCACCTAAGACACCCTGGTTTCTGATGTTTCCCCTGGAAATACCAGCAAACGTTATGGTTTCAACCATGTTTCAAAGTGGTGCAGGATTTCGTCCATCCACCGTAGGCCCCGTGACCTTTTGGGGCCTTAGGGGTTCCTTGTACTTGCTGGCAAATATTAGATTAGTTAATAAAATTGGAAGCACGGTGGCCCTTTTCAGGGTCGTGCAGGCTAGAAATAGACGGAGCACGACTGGTTTAGATGGATTTGACTAGTGACGTACTCACACATCACCCTCTTGTTCATGGTGGTTGAAAAGGAACCCCGCCTGTGCGACCCTCAACACAGTCATTTTTACTTGGCGGTTCCCAGCCGTCCACTTCCTTAGGGGTTCAGTTGCTTGTAGTTGGTTTAGTGGGTGGGTTTCTGAATTTCACCTACAAGTTCGTCACTTCTAGCAGGGGATCAGATCTGAAAACAGACTCATGGTCGTGGTTGATCACTCGTGGTTTATCCAACCACTTCTGTGATATCTTCGGGAATCTCCCAATTTGTTTGGGGGGAAAATGTCTTTGGGGTTAGGCCCTTTTTGTTGTATCGCAGATTCGTGGATTCCATTTCAACCACAGCCCGCAGCGGACCGCCGAGTTCGCCTCCGCCAGGCGATTCCATGGAAGCTCCCGAACGGACTTTGCAATGAAAGACTTGGTTCCAGTTCCAGGATTGTAGGATCAAGGGGTTTCTCCCCACTCTGTGATACTTTTGGGAATCCCCCTTTATATGAGCAAAATAGTCGTTGGGAAGCCCTTTCTGTTGTATCACAGAAGTGGATTCCATTCCCCACAGCCCTGATTTACAGAGGCGAACTGGGGGATTTTTCCGGCTGGAAAGGTCTGAGGGGGGGGGGGTGATTTTATCAGGGGCTGTGGGTGAAACCCCCCCCCCCCCCCCCCCCCCCCCCCCCCCCCCCCCCCCCCGGTTTTCCTGCGGTTTCCCTTTAAAGCCGTTAAAGAAACGGGGCCACGGGGCCACCAAAAAAAGGACTTCGCAGGTACTGCACCCTCACCTTCGTCTTCCTGGAGCAGCTGCGACTCGCGCCGCTGGCCTAATCCAGAGAGCGAGCGAGTGGGCGAGCGGGGGTATGGGAGGGAGTGAGTGCGTTCATGCGTGGGTGGGAAAAGTATGGGTGGGTGGGTGGAGTATGGGTGGGTTGGTGGGGCGTGGGTGCGTGCGTGCGTGCGTGCGTGCGTGCGTGCGTGCGTGCGTGCCTGCCTGCCTGCGTGCGTGGGTGCGTGGGTGGGTGGGTGGGTGGGTGGGTGGGTGGGTGGGTGGGTGGGTGGGTGGGTGTGTGTGTGTGTGGTGCCACAAGCCTTGCTTGCCAGCCAGCCAGCCAGCCAGCCAGCCAGCCAGCCTGCCTGCCTGCCTGCCTGCCTGCCTGCCTGCCTGCCCGCCTGCCTGCCTGCCTGCCTGCCTCCGTGCGTGCCTGCCTCCCTGCCTCCTGCCTGCCAACATGCCAGAGTTTGGTTGGCTGGCTGGCTGGTTTGTTTGGTCAGTTGGTCAGTTGGTCAGTTGGTCAGTTGGTCAGTTGGTCAGTTGGTCAGTTGGTCAGTTGGTCAGTTGGTCAGTTGGTCAGTTGGGCTGGGCTGGGTTGGGCTGGGTTGGGCTGGGTTGGGCTGGGTTGGGCTGGGTTGGGCTGGGTTGGGCTGGGTTGGGTTGGGCTGGGTTGGGTTGGGTTGGGTTGGTTTGGTTGGGTTGGTGTTTGGTGGTTGGTTGGTTGGTTGGTCGGTGGTTGAATTCTTGGTGCGACCAAAAACTGAATCCTGCCCTGAATCCTCACAACTTTCCCCACAGAGAGCACTTATCTCATCGATCAGATCTCCCATTCTCTGGTTGCTTGAATCCTATAAATTCTTAGCATTAAGAAGCTAAGCTTGCCTTTCATCAATCTAGCTTCTTTCTGATGGATATCAACCTCTCATTTTCAGTGGCCCCTAATCTGATTTGATCTTGAAGAGAATTGTGGGAATTTTCTTTTATGCCCGACCAATACGTGCAGCAACCCTAGCTGTACCTAGCCCAGTGATTCCATTTCGCTCTGCATAGCAGGTACCCAGAACCCCCCTTTAACCCAAAGGATAATGGCAGGCTACAGGCTTCCTAATGTAGTGGTAGCTCGGATCTACTAGCTCCTTTCCGGGCTTCAAAGGTAACCCTTAATTATTCCTTACCTTGGGTTGCGTAAGGGGTCCCCATTTGTAGTGGCTGCCCTATAGGCATTTTGGATTAGGAATGTTGAACAGCCCCACCTTGCCGGGGTTGCTCTTGTTTTCCGAGGTGGGATAGCTTCATGTGAGTCGTGCGGCGGTTCGGTTAGGCAGGGCCACACCCCAAAATGGACCCCGGAAATCCACGTTGAACCCTTATAGTCTTATAGTAAGTAGTGGGTCTATTAGTCGAGAGCCGACATTTTGTTTGCAATGGACCCAGGTCCCTGCTTTTGTTTAAGTACGCGATAGGCCCGCCCCAAGTTGGCCATGGTCAACTCGCAAGTTCTCCGCGAGGAGAAAAGGAAAGCGGGGGAGACGAAATCGGGTGTTCTTTAAACAGCACAATTTGAGGGGTGCTCAAATTGACTTTGGGGTTGAACCATAGAGCGAAGATTTGAGCTTTCCTTGGAGAGTGGGGGGCGGGGGTATTAGGTTTTTGCCTAAACCAGCAATTTCCGGTTTTGTTGCACGTATTCACACATGTGGCAGGAATTTCTGATAGGGATGTGTTCAACAGGACTCAAAGGGGAAATTTGTGTGGCCCAAAGCTCAAGAGGCTGCGACTTGTTTTGGAGCCTATCAGGCAGCACCAGCACTAATGTGATGTCAACTGACTAAGACCGGGGGTATTCAGCAGGGAACACAGGGTATTGTTTTTTTGGCCTAAACCAGCAACGCCCGTTTTGTTGCGAAGGAAACCAAAGGACAGCTTGGCGCAAAGCCTTACGGCATTACCCTTCCTCCGACTAACATAGCATCTGTGGAAGGCTCCACAGATCAATTTCCTCTTCAATGGACCCTCTGTCAGGTGCCATGTTAGTGGGACGGGGTGTAAGGGATGACAAGCTGAAGGTAAGAGGCTGCCACTCGAAAAGTTTCGGAGGAGACCTCCGAAGGCATGAAAGCGTCCCACAACAAAAATCAAGGGGGGGAACCTACCCAAACCAGACACAAGGACCCTTGGTTAGACTGAGTTGATGGAGAAAAAACACGGCTGTACCCCTTTAAATGGTGTCCTTTTGTAGGGTGACATGGGGCCACATCTACCTGGTCGGAAACTATGTTTCTCTGAAGAGCTAAGCCTGCGGAGTACTCCGGGGTGGACATGATGACTTTAGCCACGTGCTCAAAACCCTTTTTAGGGACCTCCCAAACTTTTGAAGCGGATTGATTGTGACTCATGTGAGTCCGTCCTTTTTAGGAACCTCTCAAACGGTGTTTGTTTCCTTTCGGTTTCCCTTTTAAAACCACAACAAAAAACAGGCACTCCTCAAGAAAAGACACCCAATGTCAATCCTTAATGAGCCACGTGCTCAAAACCCGGGGATTGATGAAGGTTAGTAAGGGGCAGTCCCAGCCAGAAATTGTTGCGGAAGTCCGCCTTCTTA